TTACTATATTACAAAAAAAAATCTATTTCAATGTTTACATATAGTCTGTCGTCTACTGCTACTATGGCAAGGGTCTAGCGGCGCTATCCGCTGCGCGGTTCTCTATTTATAAGTAGCTAGCTGCTCAAGCTAGGCCGCTGGAAGTCCCCCAGTGAGTTTCGAGACATTGCGGCGCTGTTTCAAAATAAATCCGATAAAAAATTGTCTATACTATTATATTTTGCCCTTTACATTTAAAACCAATAAACAAATGTTTTAAAAGCAAACAACACAAAAACCATAGCAAACCATTGCAGACCAGGGTTGAATGACATAGAAGTCTTCAATAAGAATGTTTATATTTTGCAATTTACAATTTAAAAGCATTATTTATTTAGCATCCATTCAAATACAATTCACAATTACAAAACAAAGACATACAAAAAAGAGATAAAAATTGCCAGTAAAAACGGAGAATGGATGGACGACCTATAAAAATCAACTAAAGGTGATTTATTTTCAATGGGGTCCAAAGCAGAACATCATGGGATCAGAATATAAATATAGAGGCCCAAATATAAAAATGAAGGTACGATATTTATGAAATATGATAACAATCATTTCAAAAGCCAACAAAACCTGTACAACCATATTGCAAAACCAGAGTTAGATTGTATCAGGGATTCATACTGTAGGTCATATACACTGCAAGGACATGTACATAATTTTGTTTTACTGGTCATTTACATGCATATTTTGCAAAACTACTGTAGCAATTGGAAAAATATCAGCCATACTGGCTCCTCCCAAAATACTAGAAGTCATTAGAGTTTATGCAATTTCATCTGATCACATGCTTTGCATTCATTTCTAATACATTTAACATGATTAATATACAGTACAGTATGTTCTGCTATTGCACAGATTCAATGCATGTTATTTGAAATTTGTAATAGGCCTATATTAAAATCTAGAATATTTTATAGATTTAATCAAATGTACTAGATATTATTATTGTCAATATTTTTGTTTGTTTTGTGACTTTAATTTGTTTAATTATTGTCACTACTATAGCTGGAATATCAAAATCCTGTTTGCCTAAATATGGTCATCATGACCATATATAGGCACATCATGTCTAAATATGGCCATACAATAGTTTTCTGTTAAAGAAATGTGAAAACTGTCTAAAAATACCTTTTATGTATTTAGCCTATATAACTGTAAGTTTACAGACTTAAATTTGAGTCCAGGAAATTAGGCTTAAATGATGAAGGGTTGTTGAGAGCAGCTAGCTCAAGTCGGCTAATCTGGTGGTAGCCACTGTATGTACGCTGAGCCGTGGAGATCTCTAGGTCCCCGGTTCAATTCCCATCGCTGCCTCTCCTTGTGTTTCAGCTAGAGGGCTGAAATACAAGTTACAATAGCGCACTGTCTTTCGGATGAGACGTTTAACCCGTTGGTCCCGTGTGCATTGATGGCCCATGTGCACGTTAAAGAACGCAGTACTCTTCGGAAAAGAGTAGGGGATAGTCTCCCGGTGTACTGCCCAATCACCCCAACAGAAGGACCCCACTTAAAATAATTGTCTTCTTCTAGACTTTTGTGGGCTATCCTTGGTGTTTACACCGAATAAATCCAATCCAATCCATGAAATCAAACAATTCTTTGGAAATTTTACTTTTATTAATTCATTATAAATTAATCAAATTTAATTAATTATTTATAAGATCCAGGCAGAATGTAATGTATTTTTTTTTTTTTTTTTTTTTTTTTTTTTTTTTTTGTAAATTTACTGTACTCCAATACTGTAGAGCTATTTCAGAATTCTTGTCTGTGTTTTTTCAATCTCGTAGTGGTGATTAATTTTCGCTGTTGGTTTTTATTTGAAACAAAATACACAAAATAGCCCTATTTTGTGATGATCAGAGAGCTTTTTGATTATTTTTTTAAGTAAATAAATTTATAGCCAAAACTGTCTTGAAGTTTACACTCTGTCTGATAATAACTCAAATATAAAATGTAAAACCTGAATTTATAACAACTTCAAAGTAATTAGAAATGAACAATACTATCACAACATAGTTGTTTGGTTTTATCGAACAATGGTTTTAAATATCACAAAATTGATCTATGGGTATTCCCAATGTTTAAAAGTATTACATTATGGGATGGTTCAACAAATAGATACAAAAGATGATGATTCAGTGTACAGTAGGTCAGAATAAAACTAACACAGACGTACAGTAGAGCATGTCATCCTACTTAAAAATAAGAATTAATATAAATTGTTTATAATAGCTGGTGTTACTTCTCCATGCTTTGTAAGAAACAGGGGCAGCTCCAGAATTTTTCAAACGGCGAAGGGGGGCACAACATTTTCAGAATAGTGAGTAGCTTATTTAAATACAACATTGGTATGCACTGAAATTGTTTAATAAATGGTAGCCAGGCAAAGGGAACATGCCCTCCATGCCCCCCATATATGGCTCACAAGCATTCACCTCTGCGGCGTCTACCTTATGGAATGCACTCCCAGTAGAAATCAGGAACGCCGACTCACTTCAGCTTTTTAAAACACAACTCAAAACTCACCTCTTCACTGAAAGTTTTGCTGAATTTCTGTAAGACACTTTTTACCAACTATGTTGTTTATTTATTTTTTTTTTCCCATTAACTGTTTAGCTAGACACCGCCATCACTAAAGCACCTGTGAGTCATGCATCGGCAGGCTTCACGCCTTAAATTGACGATAAACGGTGCGGTGTTGGTTTGGTTTGTTTAGGCGTCTAGAGTGCTGTTAGTCAAGGTTCATGGTTTTTTTTTCTTGTCCGTTTCCTTCCGTTGTTGTCAAGCGCCTCGAGGTTGGTCCAACGGGAGGCGCTATACAAATTGCAAATTATTATTATTATTATTATTATTATTATTACTGCCAAATGAAAAGTTCATGGTCTACACACCCTCCAAATTCAAAATTGTATTAAACTTTAGATTTCAGACTACTGTACTGTACTACCAACAGAACATCCATTGAGTGTGCTGGAGTAACAGATACTTCAATAAAGTGCAGTTTGTCTATAATAGGTAGCTTTCGATTGCACAAAGACAGTAGGACGTAGAACGTAATAACGTCACTAAAAGTCATCTGCGCATGCAACAACGTTAAGGTCACCTCGTCGAGTAGATTCTGGAACGCAATTTGGCCAAATCTACATATGCAGAGAACGTAGGACGCCAGGTAGGACAGTCACGCATGAGTGATTCCGTTCTAGCGTCGTGTCGTCGCACAAATCAAAAGCTCCCTAATACTTGAGGCCTAGGCCTACTATTTGTTTAGGGGTTCGAATCACAGTCCTCACCATTTTTATTTGTATTTGGGAATGGGAAACCTGTGTATAGAGTCTCTACTGTATACCAATTTTTGCTAAGGTTCTAAATTAGCTTGCCCGACTAATGATACTCCGAAGGGGCCTGGGAGATTGCTTGGTGCACGATTGCGTATCCAAAGAATTATGAAAAAGTGCATTGAATGTCTATGTTTTAAACAAATACAGTACTATACTGTACAACTTTCCATTTATTATTATATATTTATATTATATACTTATATATTTATATTATATACTTCATTCTAAATACAATGTGAACATACTACTGTACATTATATTATACAGTAGAAAGCTATACTGTATATTGAATTTAGTTGAACACAGTATTTGTTTTATGTTTCACCTGTTTTCACATTATACAGTAGGTATGTTTATACATTGAATACAGCCTCACCATCACAGATACAATAAAAGATTTATATGAAATATGGTCGAAAATCAATATACAGTGTGTTTTCAGATATCGAATGAAATACGATTGTAAATTATTATTTTCTTCAAGAGTCGACACACGAGCAAGAGAAGAGAGCATGCTTTTCAATTCTAGAATGATTCGAAATTGTGGAAAGTCAGCGGTCCATCCCGAATACAACAAAGCTAAAACATACAATTCTTACCATACTGTAGTAGCGATCGAACAGGAATCGGGGAAATTGAAACAATTACGGTCTGGCACGGAATATGAGTTTCGGTAGGTATCTATCGCAAGATCAGCGATAAAAAATCGCTGTCGTATCGGCAGTGTACTGTGTGTTGACATGGGTATTGTATGTGGGCTAGGCCTAGAGGCATTTTTGCAAAGACGTTTTGTTTCTCAGGTATATTTTCGAAGTTTTACTAGGAAAAAAAAGAAAAAAAAAAGAAGGCGGCCCCAAAAGAAGGATGCGGCGGGCGACGAGAAACATTTTATTTTTTTTTACATGGCCTTATATCTTCTTGTCGTAGATAAATAATAATTGGTAAAACAAATCCAGAAGCATCACACATTCACATCGATTGGCTAAGGTCAGGACCGAAGTACTTCGCATTCCCAAAGTAAGAATCTGGTAATTGCAGAATTAATGGCTATATGTTTAGGTACAGTACGTGACTATCGGCCATTTAGAGCGCGATACCATGGCACCGCTATCATTTTCTGCCATTTTATTCCCGCATCAATATTTCCCAAATTTTTTACGAGGGCGGGAGTGATAATCTAACAAATTTTCTATATGCCCTAAACAATTTATGTCATAAAAGTTTTAAAAATGCGAAATAATAATAACAAACATTAAAATTGGGAAAAAAGCCCATGCCATGGCAATATTCGATTTGCCTATCGGGAACGATTCAGAAAAATATAACTGTGGCCCGCGCCTGTTGTCGCTTGCTTGCTAATTTTAGCTCCTTGCCATTTTGGTCTAGGCCTAGGCCCTAGGACTACTAGGCCGTTTTGGTACTTGTCATTGCCGTTTTGGTTCATTGCCGTTTTGATTATTGCCATTTTGGTTTATTGCTGTTTTGACCTGTTTCTGCTTTATTGCCCTAGCCTTGAAGGCCTAGGCTAGGCCTAGGCTTGTTAGTATTATTTTTAGTAAACAAACAATGTCCATAAAAATATTAATCAAAACAAAAGGAAAATTGTTTTCTTACCAATTCCAAATTATCCACTTTAAAGACAAAACATGTGAATGGTTTATCGCTTTCACGTCTCCATAAGTAACTGAAATATTCCTTGTCAATTCCTCTACAAAATCTGCCGATACCTTGCAAATGATGGCAAAATGCAGTCTTGCCCGTTCTATTTACAATTCCTCTAACGGTATGCTGGGAGACCTCCAGCGAAATGGCCTCCTCTTTACCCTGCGCAACATGTTTCACTTCGGCAACAATCCAGGGTAACAGTGGTTGGGTAATTCTTTTATCAAGAACAGAACAACCCAGCAACATCAAATTAAAATGTTTGGAGGCAGGATTAGATTCGCTATTTCCACTAAGCATCGTTTTGTTTTTAACATCAGAACCTGCATCTTTCGGCTCGTCAGGCGAAGTGTTAGCCCGAGTGTTTGTGGTTAAAAGTGGCGAATCGCTATCGCTTGGGCTTGAGTCGCGACAATTTACTCCGCTATCTTCTTCGGCTTGTTGTTCGCAAGCACTGTCAGAGAAAGTGTTCATTGTGAATTAACAACCTCACCTGAGTACAAATGAGGATTTCCGTTTCAGAAAATCCCCAAAGACATCCTGGTTAGATTTTAATAAAACTGGTTTTTATAGATGTCTGAAATGATATTGAATGAATGAGTCGGATCAGCTGCTCACTTGGCAGCCCCTAGCTTGCTAGAGTATCGCATGCTGTATGTGTTGTGTTGTTTGGATGTTTATTGATTGGATGTTGAGAGCGCTATACTAACTTTGTCGATTGTCTAATTTCAACTTGTTCCGTCCATCCGGTGCAGCATTACATTTTCCAAATTAATATTTTTTTGAAAAATAAAACGGTCAATGAGTAAGCGCTTCCCCCTTAATAATATTAGGTTTTTAGAGGAGTAATTATTGATTGGTGTGTTGATTTCAAATCAGTGATATTGAAGGGTGCCCCAGCCACCCCCTCCCCCAACCTATTATAAAAGAAATGGAGAAAAAAGGAAATTATATTAAAATTTAACTCTCAGTGTTCCATTTCTGACCATCTAGAGGTGCTATAATCATAGGATAGTTACATACTCCAAGTATTGCGAAGTGCACCCTCTAATTCGAGATCGCTTTTCAGTACTTTAAAATGATCAATCTTTTAACACAAAGCTAACCATCTAAAGACCGAACCCTCGAGACCACCCCTAGTTCCAGGTCCCAGTCTCGAATTCGAGGGCAAACTGTATTAAAAATGTACGAAGCTGTGCGGTACATATAGTTTTGGTGGCCCGAAAGTTTCAATTGCATCAAAATCCCCACATAGGATAGGTCAACATTCTATTAGGCAAGAGCCCTTAAGTTCTATTGAACTTTCCTGATCATCCATTCGGTATTTCTTAGGGGAGGAGGAAATTGAAATGTCAGTCATGACAGACTGGTGACGGTATACAGTGTGAAGAAGTCAGTTAAATTAGGCCTACTTTCCCCGATGAAAGAATGATGTTCAGCGAGCTTTCGTTATGTCGATTCTCGAACAAGGTAGCGAAAGCAGAACTGATTGTTGTGCCTTTGGCTCGAAAGTGAATCTTTCAAGCATTAGGAAACAAAAATACTTCCCTTTCCCATCTTACTTTACCACTACGTCAAGTCTGTTAGACGCCCGAGGCTCTGAGTCATCGACTCAGAGCCTCTGGTCGCTTAGGCCACTTTTCTGATGGGCTCCTCATAAAATGTTCTACCGCCTATTTCGTCATCGTCTTGTTTCATCACTCAAAAAAAATCCTGAAGTCTCTGAGGATTTTGGGGTATCCGATCAGTTTGTCGAAACCCAGTTTTTCAAATCCCAGATTGCCAAATCCACTTTGCCAAGGGCCGTCAAAATCGCATCGGCCGCACCGGCTTTGGCCGGACACTTTTCCCCTTCTATTACTTTTTTAAATATAGGGCCTATACCTAGGTATTATATGAATTTATCATCACGTTCCCTTAAAATACTACACTGCGCTATGTCAGTGTTTTCAGTACAATCATTATCATTATACATCTCCAGACCGGACTCAATCGGGAAGGATCCCTGATTCGTCCGACCAATCAGCATGAAGCTCGGCTTCCACATAATCGCATTATGCTAGCTGCCCTGACGCAATCGGGAAGGCACCCCGATTCGTCTGCAACGCAATCGGCAGAGTTGACCATGTTCAACCTTCCCGACAACTGTCGGCGACTGTCGCCAAAAGGTGAGCGATTCTGTGTAAGCCGAACTTGACCGAAGCTGTCATCATTGAATATATATTCAGTGTAAACACCAAGGCCCACAAAAGTCTAGAAGAAGACAATTATTTCCAGTGGGTCTTTCTGGTGGTGATTAGGCAGTACACCGGGAGACAATCCCCTTTGCGAAGGTTGTACTGCGTTCTCTAACGACCAAAGGTTTAAACGTCTCACCAGAAAGACGGCACTATTTTGACTTGTATTTCAGCCCTCCAGCTGAATCACCAGGAGAGGCAGTGATGGGAATAGAAGGCTGATTGGTTAAAACAAGAGAGAAGAAAAGGAAAAATATACAGTCCAGAAAGACGAGAGCATGGTACTGTATATGCCTACTCCAAAACAACGATTTAACGATGTACAAGTGTCTATGGTCTCAAACATTTCTCTAAACAATCTCAAAACTACTCCCCCTTCCCTATCACATCCCGGTCGGTGCTTTGCAATTCGCATGACCTCCTTCCCAACTCCCCCTCAAATTTTTTCATTGGCCTTATTAACATTTAAGAAATAGCTATTTCTTATATTATTAGATTATTGATATTATAAAAAAAAATCTGAAATTAACCTTCTCCATAAAATTGTTGGCCGACGACTTTGAACCAGTCTAAAGCCTGGCTTCCTTCAGTCGCTTCAGTGTTTTCAGTGCAATATCGTTGTATTGCGTAGCAGCCTCTGACGCAATCGGGAAGGATTCCCGATTAGACCATGGAGGTATAAAAATAGGATTAGACCGACCAATCAGTATCAATAATAGCTGTACCGATTGTATGGAAACTGAGCTTATAACACGTTATGTATAATGATTTTTTTTTTCATGTATAATAGGCCTACCGTACTCGCGCGAATAAGCGCCCGGGCGCTTAAATTTTTTTTTTGCACTTTTTGAGGGGCGCTTATTCAAACGGGGCGCTTATTCGAACGAGGCGCTTATAAAACAGAGTGAAAATTGAGGGGGCGATTATGGAAATAGATGAAAATCGAAAGGTTCTTATGAGAACTTATTATATCCAAGAGGCACATTTTGAATGAAAAACGATGAAATAAGGACATCAGGAAACCGCAAATTACGAATGGTGCTGCGGCGGAAAAGATAATCGTCCAGAGAGCATGGCTTGTCATGACAAGAATATTGTGAGTACAGTATTACATAACAGCAGAATAGCAGATGAAATTAGTGGTGGTGGTTAGCTTGTTCGCCATCGGTCGATTGAGAATAGCAGGACTGCACTTGAAAACTTAGATGAGAATGTGTTAAAGGTGCAAATTGTCGGAAAAGGAGTAGTAGGACTAGGCTATAGACAAATGAAATTCTAAGAAGATGAAAGTTTGAAATATACTGTCTGTCCAGGGAGCTCTCATC